GGTCAAATTTCACCTAATTGCAAAGTTACCAGCGGTGGAGGAGGGCGTCACGCTGCTGGTGGTGCTGAGGAAAGCTCAGAGCAGCCTGGATCAAACATCCCAAAATTAAACACCACGAGGATGTGAAACCCAGCGTGTCCTGAGAGCAGCTGGCACTGGAGGGGAAGTGGGGGACAGATGTTTCCTGAGAGGAACCAGAGAGCAGCAATAACTTATTTAAGGATAAATGGAATTGTGCTGAGCTGGCAGGGCTCCCCCAGCAACGCCTCACTGACACTCTGTGGTTTCATCCTATAAAAGCTCAACCCCACCTTCTAACAGTGGGATTTCCAGCACAGTCCTCCTAGGAGCGTGTGTGGATTCCTCCCTGGAGCAGGGACACCCCTCAAGGTCCCTCCCCGAGGCTGAGCCAAAGAGATTTGTGTTGGTCTGGGTGAGTAACATCAACCTCTACTTAATAATTATTAATTTAACTTTGAAACCATTGATTTAACAAACAGTGCACTACAGCAATGGTTACAACCATCTATAATGTGATTAAGGCCCTTCAGTCTAATCATTACCACCAATGGAAATAAATAATTTATTTTACCTATGTAAATGTATTTGCTTTGCCTTTCTTAACCCTGCGGGAGGAAATCGTGTGAAGCCTCCATTACACCCGTAATAATCCTTCAGGCACAAACTTCTGACCAAGTCTGGGGCTGGATCCACACGTGTCCAGACTCCTCTGTGCCTGGGGGCTCCAGGGGGGGAGGAGGAACTCTGGCTGAGGGTCCCACTCTGCCCATGGAACATCCCCCGGCCCCTTACCCGGTTCCATCCGCCCCAGCCCCTCCTGCGCCGCTGCTCCCAGGGCGGCTCATCCCAGGCGTCCTCGGGGCCGGGAGGGGGGCACGGCCCTGCTCCATCCCCCCACGGGCCGGGCTGTGGAGAGATGAGAGTGGTGAGAAACCCCCCCCCTGCACCCCCACCCCGGCTGGATGCTGAGCAGGGATGGGGAGGCAGGAGCCCACCCACCTCCTCCGCTGGCCGAGGGCCCAGATTGTTCCCAGTTCTTCCCCAAACCGCAGCGATGCTCCCCGGGCTCCCCAGTGGGTGCCCACCCTCACCCCACAAAGCTCCTCCACTCCCACCCGCCCTGGCAGCTCCCGGAGCACCACAGACCCACCTACCTCCCTGGGGAAGCCCCTCCTGCAGCCCGGCGGGGGGAACATCCTGCCCGAAGGACGTCCCGGGGCGGAGAGGGGCCCTCGGGGGTGCGGGATCCGCTGGAAGGGAGAGGCTGAGGGTGAGCACAGGGTGAGCACGTCCCACAGGACGTCACTGCCGGCTCGGGGACGCTGCCACCCGGGTGCCACCCTGCAAGGGGGGTACTTTCGATTTGGGTGATCGATGGAGCACAGAGGGGGAGAAAGTAATTCTGTTGGGATGTGAAAGCAGCCAGAGTCTCGTACAATGTAACTTTATTGCACAAGTTAACTGCGAGGTCCGTTTTGTCTTTAGCAAGTTAACTGGATGTCCCCCATTATCAGAGCTGAGTTCCTCCTTGGCTTGGCTCCTTACTGCAAGATGGACATAAACACCCTTGAAACACAGGGGTAGAGGTTGTACACAGGGGTGAGAAAGATGATGGTGAGAGGAAGATTATGTGGGCAGGGGTCTCTCATCCTGCCACCGAGGCTGTGTTGCTCCATGGGGATGCCTGCTAAGCACTGGCACCAACCAGCTGCTGCAGATCCTGGCAGCCCTGCCCTGTCTGTGTGGGTAAGCACAGTTTATCGACAGCAAGCAACTGAGAAACCAAAAGTTTTATATCCTCTTTTGTATCCCTTTAGTTCCCTTTTCACTAGTCAATCCTGTAATAAAAGCTGTTCGTAGTATTGTACGAATGCCAACCGATAAAGCAGTTTTTTGAATTCTTTTTTAGCTTTTGATTCTCTTTGCTAGTAGTTTTTTGTATTCTCACTGCAATAAAAGATTATTTTTTTTTTGGTAGTGTTTGAATGTCTGTTGTACTTGCCTTTATTCCGGGCGTGTATTCAAAGGAATTAACACACACCCGCGGCGCTCCCGGAGCGCTGGGACACCTCCAGAGCCACCCGGCATCACCACAGCGAGGACCACGGGGCACGGAGCCACCCGGACAGCTCCCTGTGCCAGCGGGGACACCCGGACAGCTCCCTGTGCCAGCGGGGACACGGACCTGCGGTGCCTTGGCACCCCTCTGCCTGCCCGAGGCTCTGCTCGCTCCCAGCCGCGTTTCATCGCCCTGTGCCAACCCCCCGGGTCACGGCACCCGCGGCACCACCCCGTGCTGTCCCACGGGATCCCGGCCCGCTGTCGGGGCACAGGACTCGGACGAGCCCCCCGCCAGCCTGGCATCGCAGAGGGGTGCCAGCCCTGCTCCGGGTTCCATCCCTGCTCCCACGGGACGGTCCGGGCTCTCCACAGGGACGAGGGAGCTCCCCAGGGCAGCCTTCGTGGCTCCCTCCCCGCCGGGCTGGGGGGGTCAGAGATCGGGGGATGCTCTGACCCCCGGCGGGCATCGAGCTGCAGAGCCACCCTCGCCCCGGGCTGGCAGGAGTTAATGGCAGCGCGGGCACCGTCGGCAGGGACCACCCCGGGGCAGGGCCGGAGGGAAACACAAAAAAACCCCACGCTTTTGTCCCTAAGTTGCGGTTTTACCTGGCGCGGCAGCCTCGGGTCCTGCAAAGCAACACTGAAGTACGGAGGAGGGTGGGTTGGAGCGCCCTGAATCCCTGAACCCCAACCCTGCACCCCAGCCCTGCACCTACGCACTCCAGACCTGCAGCTCTGCACCCCAATCCTGCACCCCTACACCCCAATTCTGCGCCCCTACGCCCTAATTCTGCACCCCTACGCCCCAGTCCTGTAGCCCCATACCCCGTTCCGCTCCCTGGGGACGCCGGTTCTCCCCCAGCCTCTGGTTCCACCCCAATATCCGGCGGAACCGATCCCCCTTCCCGAGGAGCTCTCCCGGAGCGCTCCTGTCCCTCCCTCTGGGAGTTTCCCCTCCTCTTCCCATCCCGCTCCCGGCACTGATTCTGCTTCCGAGAGCAAACGCTCCTTACCGAGGGGGCACAGCCCTCCCAGTGCCCGAGGGCGCGCAGACCCCGGGCAGCGCCGCTTCCCTGACCCCCAGGGACAGCCAAAATCCTCCGGGAATCTCGGGTCCATCAGCAAACCCGCCTCAAAGCGGAGTGGGACGAAAGACCCTCGACCGGCACCCCATCAGCCCCTGGGTCTGCCGCGACCCCACCTCTGCGGAGCCACCCTGAAACGGGGCTCCTGCACCCCCAGGGTACGCAAAGGGCGTCCCTGCACCCCCAGGGCATGGAGCATCCATGCAGGAGCGGATCCTGGACCTCCAGGGCATGGAACATCTGTGCAAGGAGGTTCCCTGCACACCGTGCACACACACACACCCCTCCGGCGCCTGCCACCGTCCAGCATCACCTGGATCAACCACCCAGTCCCCGGGATGCTCCAAGCCTTGTGCCGGGATATTTGGAGGAGCAGGGTTGCAGCAGAGCCTGCAGGGTCGAGGAGGGGAAGGGAGAAGGCTGAGAGGGTCTGGAGAGCCCCGGCAGGACGGGACCCTCCCATCGCACCCACCTTTGCTGCCATGCGGGGGGACCGTCCCTGGCACGCGGACGGGCCGGGGGCTGCTGGAACTGCCCCTGTGCGTCACTTCCCAGCGTGTCCCGATCACCTTCCAACGCGTCCGTCACTTCCCAAGTGTCCCGATCACCTCCTGCCGCCGCAGCCGGGTTTGGGCCCCACTTGCAGCATCGCCGCTCCGCAGCAGCCCTGGGGACGGGGCTCGGAGGGTCTCCCAAACTCTCTGCCCATCCCACTCACCACCTCCTGCGCCAGCCGGGCACTGGGCACCTCTGCCAGGCGCCTTCAGCCTCCCCTCCCCCTTATCTCCCTGCGTTCCCCGCTGGCCCGGACGCTCCCGCACCTCGTCAGCAGCGGGCAGATGTGTTGGTACCAGGTACAGACATCCCGCCCAGCCCCCGGTCATTTATCACCTTCCCCTGCTCCGAGGACACCCGCGGCAGAAGAGGGAGGTCTGGCTGGGGAGGTCTGGGGACGCTCTGATAACAAACTGGTCTGAACTGGTCCGCCCAGCGATGCAAATTCCTGCACCCGCACAGAGGTGAAGACGGTGCCCTGACCTTGCAGGAACCGGGGGAGGAGATAAGGGCGGAGAAGGGAGGCCCCGGCTGAGCTCGCTGATCCCAAATGTCAGCGAAGGAGGGGATGAAAGGGAAAACCCGAAGTGTGAGGGGGAGTAAAACCCTTCCAAGAATCCAAACAAGCCACGCCGGGGCAGCCCTGGGCCCATCGGAGCTGGCTGCTTCCCAAGGCTGCTCCCACCGGGCAGATAACACACAGCTCTCCAGATGGCCCGTTAATGAGAGCCCCTAATAGCCCTAAATCAATTAACTAGCTGGGTGGATCAATTAGCTCGCTGGGATTTGGGAAGGGAGTGCAGCAGCAGGGACAAACGTGTACGGACAGTGCGGCAGGACTGTTGCAAACAGTCTGATAAAATAACCGAGGTTTGATCATATGGAAGAAGTAGCTGTGATGGAAGATGGCAAAGCACCACGTGTAGGATTGTTGGGAGTGTTGTGTTGGAAGTGTGCAACCACAGAAACCCCACCAAGGAGTTACTGGACCATTTATGGTGCTTGGAAACCCCCTTACCCTTCCCTTCCCTTCCCACTTTGATTCCAACCAGGAGAGCTCAGTGGAACTGACCAGGGATTGTTTCGGGATAAAGATCCATAACCTATGGAACCAGTCACTGTAAAGGTTAAATTTAAAGAATGGGCTTAAGTAACAGAAAAGAAGTACAAAAATGACACACAGAACACCCCAAAAATGTGCAGCTATTGGGTTTGGGGCTCGGCCCTGCCCCTCTGCCTGGGCCAGGCTCCCTCGGCAGGTCTGTCCCCCATTTCCCAGGCACAGGAGCTCGGGAGCAGAACACACGGGACAGTGGAGGTCGAGGCTCCATCTCAGTGTGTTCATCTGCTCCTAGTTTGCCCAGCAAACGCCCTGGCTCTGCTCCCGGTTCTCCCAGTTCTCCCAGCCTGTCCTGCTGTAACCAGCCGTCACAGTGACCCCGGCTCCATCCGGGATTGTCTGTGGAACCACAGAATCCAAGAGTGTGGAAATGGAGGGGGGGGGCACAATTATGACCTGAGCAGCTGCAGAGGTGATGAGTGCCCAGGTCAGCACCGGTGCAGGGTGTTCCTAGGAAACCCCGATTGCTCCAGGGATCCTGGTTGTTCCTGGGAACCTTCACCGCTCCCGAGAACCCCACCTGCTCCCGGGGGGAACCCTGAATGTTCCTAGGAAACCCCGACTGCTCCAGGGAACCCTCTTTGCTCCCAGGGGCTCTCAAGTGTCCCGGGGGAGCCCCAGCTCTTCCCGGGGGGAACCCTGAATGTTCCCGGTGTTACAGAGCAATTTAAATTTAGTAGTAGAATGGCTAAGGCTTAGTAAGAGAGTAGGCCTAGAAAGCAACACTCCAAAGTAGTAAGTTAGCAACTTTGTGAGCATGGAATATGCTGAAGAAGTGGAAACAATAATCAAAGGATTTAGTCAAGCATGTATATAACGATTTGTTGCCTTAGATAGATGTGTTTGTGGTTAGGGTCTGTTAAACTGTTTCTAGGAGCTAGGACAGCTGGAGTAGATTTATGATTGGGGTAGATGATTATCAATTGGTATCAGCATAAAATATGAGCTTGTTTGTAACAATCTTCTGTAACTGTTTTGTGGAATTTGCACGTAGAGTTGTTTGTGTGAGAGTATAAAAGCTGTACGAAATGTGAGGGTCTTTGGAATCCTGACTTGGGACGCTAGTCCTCAGGTTCCCGGGCCCGGAATAAAGCACCGCATAAACCGGCACTCAGTTGGTTTGTGTCTTTGTTAAGGGCAACACCGGGAAACCCTGACTGCTCCAGGGATCCTGATTGTTCCTGGGAACCTTGACCGCTCCCGGGAACCCCACCTGCTCCCGGTGGGGAACCCTGAATGATCCCGGGAAACCCCGACTGCTCCCGGGAACGCCACTCCCTCCCTGTGCGGCTCAGCTCGGGGGCTCCCCGGCTGCGCAGCGGGGGTTGCCGAGCCCAGCCCGGCCCCGAGAGGTGCCGGGAAGCCCCGCGCTGATCCCGATCCCGCTCCCGATCCCGATCCCGCTCCCGCCCCACGTGGAGCCGAGCGCCGGCAGTGACGTCACGCGGACGCAGTGACGTCACGCGGCGCCGTCGACGCCGTCGCCCGGCGCGCGCAGGGGCAGCAATGGCGGCGGCGGCGGCGGCGGGACCCGGGTCGGGCCCGGGAACGCCGGGATCGGGCCCGGCGGCGGTGGCGGCCCCGCCGAGGGGGCTCCGCGCGTGGCTCCGCAGCGCGTTCCGCTTCGCCACCGACCGCAACGACTTCCGCAGGTGCGGGGGCGCCGGGAGCGGGGGTGGGATGGGATCCAGTCCGGGATCGGGAGCCCGCGCTTCTGTCCCGGCAGTGGCGTGTCCGGCAGGAGCAGGGCAGGGATTGTCCCCTGTGCTGGCGCTGCTGGAACCTCAAATCCTGTGTCCGGTTCTGGTCACTCGGTTCAGGAGGGACATTGAGGGGCTGGAGCGTGTCCGGGGAAGGGAACGGAGCTGGGAAGGGGCTGGAGCAGCAGGAGCAGCTGAGGGAGCTGGGGGGGCTCAGCCTGGAGAAAAGGAGGCTCAGGGGGGACCTTCTGGCTCTGCAACCCCCTGACAGGAGGGGGGAGCCGGGGGGGGTCGGGCTCTGCTCCCAGGGAACAAGGGACAGGAGGAGAGGGAACGGCCTCAGGCTGTGCCAGGGCAGGGTCAGGTTGGACACCAGGAGGAATTTCTCCATTCTGAGGCCTCAACAACAGGCCCTGAGCCAAAGCTGACCTCTTGATGAACCTCCCAACAATAGTTACTTTTATCTGTGTATCTGCTCGGTAAGGAACTGATCATTAGTGAAAGAATGTATTTATCTTTCCATATTTAGAGGCCGGTCAAGGCCATGGGATGAGATGCCTGGCCTTGTTTGGCAGGAGATGAATGGTCAAGGTTGACTCCCTTGGTTTTCTCCCTGGAGCCCTGGCCAGGCTTTGGGTGGAACCCAAGGGGAGAAGGAAACCAGATGTTTCTGCACTACAAGTTATGAAAACTTGTTTATTCAACAACATAAAACAATGTAAAAGCTGGAGTCCAGGGGAGGACTGGACGTGGCACTCAGTGCTCTGGGCTGGGGGACAAGGTGGGGATCGGGCACAGGACTGGATGGTCCTGGAGGGATTTTCCAACTGAAATGACTCTGGGATTGCAGGAACCTGCTGGTGAACCTGGGGCTGTTTGCTGCCGGGGTCTGGGTCGCCCGGAACCTGACGGACATCGACCTGATGGCCCCACAGCCCGTCCCATAGAGCCGGTGAGTCCAGGGGTGAGGGGGACTGGGCGGGATCTGGGAAGGTGGGAACAGCTATGCTTGGAATCATGGAATGCCCCAAGTTGGAAGGAACCACAGGGATCATCCAGTCCAACTCCTGGCCCTCCCAGGACACCCCAGCAATCCCACCTTATCCCTCAGAGCGTTGTCCAAACCCTCCTGGAGCTCTGGCAGCCTTGGGGCTGTGCCCACTGCCCTGGGGAGCCTGGGCAGTGCCCAATAACCCTCTGGGGGAAGAACCTTTCCCTGAGATCCAACCTGACCCTGCCCTGACACAGCTCCAGCCATTCCCCGGGTCCTGTCCCTGCTCACAGGGAGCAGAGATCAGAGCTGCCACTCAGGAGGAACCTGCAGCCCCCCTGAGGTCTCCCCTCAATCTCAAGGCTGAACAAACCCCCCAGATGTGTCCTGACACCCCCCAGGATGGGGCTGTCCCCGTGTGAGGTGACACAGATCAGGACCAATCCCTGAGCCCACCCCAGGCCCCAAGAGCACCAAAGCCCACCCGACCCAGCCTTCACACGGGGTTGTAAAGCTGTTACTAAGCTGCCACATGCCAGAACCCACCTCCACTAACACTGCTGAATCCCTGTCCCAGGAATTCCTGGAGCTGCAGGGAGCAGAGCTCGCCCTCCCACCAGGACCGGAGCCGTGTTGGGCCGCGACGGGTTCGCTGCATTCCTGGAAGGACGTCGCTCTCCTCCCCTGCAGAGCTGCTGCTCCCAGTCCCTCCTGTCCTGCTCCAGGCAGTGACAAGGGGGAAAGATTTAAGGCTGAGAGGAAGAATTTATTTCCAGTTCATTCCTCAAGGCACAACAAGAATGGTTTTCTAAAGGATGGTTGTGGAATTTCCTTCTGTACCCCCCCCAGATGTTTATTAAAGTCTATGGAATAACGACATGGCCCACTGGAATTTCTTCTTCTTCTTTTTTTTTTTTTTTAATAAGAAACTTCAGCTTACAAAAACAAGGTGTAAAAAGAGTAAAGATTTACAAAAAAATCATAAAAACATGATTTATATTTCACACCCGAGAGACAAAAGGGGCCGAGCCCAGCCCGGGGCTGCACCCGGGACCCATCTGCTGCTCCTGCAAAGGAAAATCCAAGGGGAACTCCAGCCACCAGGGTTCCTGGGAAATGTCCCTGGGGGATAAAGCTGGGGTATGGAGAGGAATGATGGCTGTGTGTGGGAGGAGAAGCCATTTGGTGTTGCATAGCAAGGGGTGCCCTGGGCTGAGGCTGGAACAGTCCAGTGGCCGGGGGATGGTGGAAGCACCACTGGGAGCTGTGATTTACTCACAGGGGACACAGCAGCTCCTGGGATTTACTCACAGGGGACACCAGCTCCTGGGATTTACTCACCAGCTCCTGGAAGGTGCTGTGCAGGAGCAGGAGGAGCTCCCAGCCCTGAGAGCCCTGGCAGTGGGGTGCAGCATGGCTTCACATTCTTTGGACAGTTTCACAGGGTTTTAGTTCAGGACATTCTCCTGGAGCAGCTGTTCCCACGTCTGGAGGACAGAACTGCCCCTCACCTGCTCCCCCCCCCCCCGAAAAAAACCCCCCTCACTCCACTCCCCATAAAAATCCTTGAAAATGCTGTTTTCAAAGCTGGTGTTTGGACATCCTGTAAAGAAACTAAGTTCTTTTGAAGTCGGGATAATCCAAGTTATGCAGAAACAGTTTCTGCAGGAAAAGGGGATTAATTAGAACATTTCAGTCCCTTTATAGTTAATCTCAGTTTTGATTTACTCACACTAATCCCCCCCAGCCTGGGGTCAGGCAGGGGCCAGGCCGTGCCCATGGAGGCTGCCAGGGGTGACTTGGGGATGTTGGGAACAAACCTGACTGGAAGAAAAGCTGATGGGGATCAGGAGGCAGCTGGACAGACTGCCAGGAACAGTCAGGAACCATGGAATATCCTGAGCTGGAAGGGACTCACAAGGACCATCCAGTCCAACCCCTGACCCTGCACAGACACTCCAACAATCACACCTTGTCCCTCAGAGCATTTCCAAACCCTCCTGGAGCTCTGGCAGCCTTGGGGCTGTGCCCACTGCCCTGGGGAGCCTGGGCAGTGCCCAACCAGCCTCTGGGGGAAGAACCTTTTCCTGAGATCCAACCTGACCCTCCCTGACACAGCTCCAGGTGTTCCCTGGGTCCTGTCCCTGCTCCCAGGGAGCAGAGATCAGAGCTGGACTCGTGAGGAACCTGCAGCCCCCTGAGGTCTCCCCTCAGTCTCGAGGCTGAACAAGCCCAGTGCCCTCAGCCACCCCTCCCATGGCTGCCTCTCCAGAGCCTTCACCATCCTTTTAGCCCTTAATTAATTAATTGATTAACTGGATTCTCTCTCACTGCTGCCTGGCAGTGTCCTTGAGGAGGACACTCCCAGCCTGGCACAAGTCAGCTCAACTCATTAGTGATGTCAGGAATGGAGCTAGAGCAGAAACACGAGGCTGTTCTGACTTAAATCCACTGAAAAATCCAGGGAATCCACCCAAGCTCCAGCTTGGCTCCTCACCCAAACAAGCACTTCCCTCCTGTTTTCACAAGGGCTGCCAGGGGATTCCATACTGAGGGAAAACTCCTCTCCTGTCCAGCCTCTGCCAACAGCTCCCTGCCAGGAACCTGAACCAGAGACTTGTTCGGGGGGAAAAAATTGGAAGGTTTTTTCAGTGCTTTCCAGAGAAACTGTTTTTTTGTGGAATGCATAGTTTAACTTGGGAATACAGGCAGGAAAAGGGATAATAAAGGCAAATTTATGTAACCAACTTGCTAGTGGAGCAAAGTTACCTACAATAAAGTGGCTTCCAACTGCTACAGCAGATGTTGGATGACACCTGGCCATGGATACATGAAGATTCTTCATTCTTAAAAACACAGAATTAAGGAAATCCCATTTACTCACGAGTTGGATGGGATAAGGACATGGTGGGAACAGTTCCCTCCCAAAGGCTGCACATCCCAAGCCTGATTTCCTGCTCCTCACACAACAACCTGGGAGGTGCCACGAACCTCCCACTTGCTCCGAGCATCTCCCAAGGCAAAGGGCTCCTGCTGCCAGAGTGGATCCCCAGGACAGGAATCCCAGCCCATGGAACAACAGCCTTACTCCCAGTTGGACCAAAACAAAGGGGTTTGTGTTGCAGACACTTGGTTTGCACTCCCAGCTGTGGCTGCTGAACTCCTCACAGGAGCTGTAACCTCATCCACCCGTAAAACTGGTATTAATTCTAATAATTAATTCTGACAGAGCCTAAAACTGGAATTAATTCTAAATCTGCGTCGGGGCAGGGGCAGAATTGGAAGCCACGTTGTGAAGCAGGGACAGATCTGCTTTGGAGGCTGCCCCTTGTCAGACACGCCTCAGTGGCTTCCCTGGAATTCCAAGCAGCATTTTCACCTTCCTGGTGGAGGGGGTGACTTCCATGAGACTTCCTGGCAAACAGGACACTCTAAAACAGTGCCCACATGGAGGGAGCCCTGGGCTCTGCCTGTCTCCAGCCTGCAGGAGCCAACTATAAACCAACCAGCATCAAAAGTGCCATACGCTGTCGCTTCCAAAGAAAAGCTAAATATTCCACAAACCTCACAGTGTTGGAAAAGGCAGGTTTATCTAAGTTTACTTCATTCCTTCCCTATCAGGGCAATCGTTTTCCTGGCTGCAGGATCTCCCCAGCTCAGCTGATGCCCCTTGGAGACTCGTGACTAGAGATGTCACCTTGAGTCCTACAAACTCTGGCTGTGGGAACACTCCCAGCTGCAATTCCACCTGAATTCCAAGATTAATGCCAAACACTCAGTCAGAAGATGAGCACTGATGGCACAGAGCCTGGGCTGGCTGCAGGAACAACTCGAGCTGCAGTGGGTTTGCCTTTCTATGGGATTTTTATCCAAAAAAAGGGCCAGCATGGCTTTGGGATGCAAGGAGGGAACCAAAGGGCCAGCTGGGAGCAGAGCAAAGCACAAATAATCCTCTCAAAGGGCAGGCAGGCCTGGAAGGACACAAGGATGGGGAAAACACCTCAGATGAGGTGTTTCTAAGCACTATTTTGCCTTTAATTTGAATTTTCTCTGCCTCACAGAGCATATTCTGCTCCAGAATGAATCCATCACGTGTCTGACAATCACAAGCACTTCTGATTCCTTCAGGAATGTCAACTTCTCCCTGGCTGAGCCCAACTCAGCTTCCCCTGCAGTCACATTTGCTGTTATTGGATCTCAATTTGGCCTATTTTACATTTTTTGCATCATTACTGATTTCATTTACTGGCAGCACCAAAAATCCCCCACCCAGTAAACACGAAGACATTCATTAATCCTTCCAGCCCTTGCTACATTTAGAGAACCAAAACTACACCTTTTGCATCAGGACTGTTGCAAACTGTCTCCAAAAAATAAAGAGTGTGTGATCTCAGGACGACACTGAATTGTCAAAAAGACATTCTTTTAGGCTCAAAAAGCAGCATGTTGGTCAGAGCACAGGAAATGGGAAACTCAAAGGGCAGAGGAGCCCTGGTGTGATGCTGTGCTCTGGCACAACCCAAATTTCTTCTTGCTGTGCTCAACTTGCCCAAGGACAGGGGGGTAAAAGTCCCAGGAGTGGCAGTGGGAAGAGGAGTGGGATTTGGGAGGCTTCCCTTTTCACCCCCTCCCACAACAAGGTGTGTGTCTGAGGGGCAAACACTGACAAGGATGAAAGGAGAAGAGAAACACACTTTGAGAACTTCCCTACCTGAAAATGGAACCAGTTTTTTGAAGAACCTCGTATTTTAGATTATTTCACCTTTTAACAATTAAAAAAATAACCAAGATTGAAAGATATCATGTGTTGGGTGTTTTTTTTTTGCAGTTCCATATTCAGGTTAAAACATGAAACGTGAACAGCCAAACCCCAAATTACAAAAACACACCTGAGGTGCAACTGTAGGCTGAGAAGTGACTACAAATAGTCCACTAAGGCTCTGTGTTTCTCACAGGATTCTAAAATCAGGATGATTTCAGATACAGACATTTTTGCAGCCTTTCCAACTGGACGTGGAACTTGAGATTTAACTACATTCCTTCCCTTGATGGCCCAGCAGGAACAAAGACCTCCCAGGGGGAATTCTGGGCACTGCCTGGATCCAGGGCCACCTTCCCTGTGACAACCACAACTAATGGCTGTTCCCACTCCAGAGGCAGTGACAGAATCCAGCTCTGTCCCCCACACTGTGGCATTCCCACCACTGCTCCCCTGAGGAAAACGAGCCACATTTGTAATAAAGAGTGAGTTTGCCACTGGGAGATGCCTCCACACCACCAACTTCTGCTGCCACAGCTGTGCAAGCCACAGACTTTCTAATCCTTACAATCCTGGGGACAGTGATGTCCCTCCAGCAGAAACCTGGAGCACAGGGTTTGTTTTTCCTGCCAGATCTGGCACACAGGTACATTCCTGGTTTATTACAGGGAGGTTTTTTTGTGTTTAAACACACTTTCTCCAGAGAAGAACTGTATTAAAATCACATTCTGAGTGAATTTAGCTGCCAGTTGAGTTCAGCCCAGAGAATAAACTGTGGAGTGTGACACAGCCCCAGTGGCACTGACACACAGAGCTGCTGGCAAAGCTTCAGCCCTCAGCTGATGGCAGAGAAATTGGTGTCACAGGGGCAGCTGAGCCCTGGGGGAAGAATGAAGAAGAACTTACACATTTCTCCAGCAAGAACAGCTCTCAGGGCAGCCAATTCCTGGTGCCTGTGATTCCCCTGGCAGTGGGAACAGCCACTGGAGGGGAGGGGACTGTACCTGCTCCTGCTGGAGTTTGCCCAGGATTGGTGGGGACTGAAGGGCTCTGAAGGCAGCTGGATGCTCCTCTTTCCTGCCTGTGCTCACTTGTCACAGACCTCACACAACTCCTTCAA